GCGGACTCGCAACCTGCGGTGCTGGCTCACTAGTTCAGAGGTTTACAAATGAGGAAACTGAGGCTCACACAGAGTGCCCCATCCTACCTCCGTGGCTTGGAGTGAAGGTTCTCGGCCGCCTGGGTTTGTGAAGGAGCTTGGGGTTTCCCCTCCTAAACACCCAGAGCCAGGCCCTCGGGAAGCTTCTCTGGAGCTCAAGACGCAGTGTTGTGCTACTGCTTTGGCTGGACTGTTTTAACCCTAACTCCCCGAAGGCGAAAGGCACCCGCCTTGAGAGGTGGATTTGATTATCCTCGCTGTACAGATGAAAAAATGGAAACAACGCCAGTCCTTCCGTTCACAAGGATCCAGTCTGAGCGGGAGCTGTGTCCTGGCCCCAAATCCGGGCCAAAGCAGTGTGGCGGGCACTTTGGGTGAGAGAATTCTGCTCTTGCCCTTCCTCAGTGGGAGGTTTAGCAGCATATGTGGCCTCCACCCACTAGATGCCAGTGGACCCCTCCCCAGTTGTGACAACCAAAGGTGTCCCCTAAATGCCAAAGGTCCCCTGGGTAAGTGTCGCTCTCCTGGATTGAAAACCACTGCCATCAGACACACAGGTGGAGGCCGTGAGCCCTGGTCCCTGCTGTGTGACCTTGGCAGCGTGGTTCCACCCATATAACGTGAGGACAGCAAGCCCGGGCACTGTCCCCCGAACAGGCTCTTCTCCTCAGGGACCTGTAGTCCGGTGTCCATAGCGACCTAGAGACTCAGTCTTTAGGTAAAGAAGTATAGTAAAGACTGGAGCGACAATTAGCTGTAAAGCACCTACCATTTTTGAGCACGGTCGAGGCTCGGAAATGTTCGATGTTATTACTTGTGTCACCTTGTATCTCTAGAAATAATCAGGTTGGTGGATCAGAAGTAAGCTGGGCGATAATGGTAATTACAAACCCAGGGATCCTACTCTAACTCCTCTCCTTAGCAAACAAACAGAAGTAAATGAAGAAGACGGGACGCCGTGGATAGAGAAGTGTCTGTGTCTAAATTCTGAAGTTTCAGGGAATCTTGCCTTCATATATTGTGCACTTTGTTCGGTTGTAATGTGATGGTCTCCCTGCCTACGAAAATGTTTTGTGTCACTCCCAGGTTGAATGTTGCTTTGGAAGCTAAATGGGGGCTCTGGTGGTATTTTTGTTTAAGGGTGCCATCTAGGGGCACATCTATGAATCTTTTATTCCTCCCATTTCTGACTTTTTTGTGGGGTGGTCAGTCAGGTTTTGCCTGCGTGCTGACTTCGTCTTCTGCCGGGCCACGTACTCCCCAGTGGTGGGGATGTAGCATCTCTGTATAGTATCAGGACTTGGCCCTTGATGAACATCCAATGGGTTAATAGAATAAATCCAAACACAACCTGTCTGTGGGAGGTAAGTTTTCTTTTGTTTATAAACTACTCAGGCTATGGCTGTTTGTTATAGCAGCCATAATGGACTAAGACGCTTGCTGTAGTTAAGAATTTACTTCAGAAAAGGTCAGGAGCACTTGGCTTTGAATAAGAAATGTGTGAAATTCTCCAGCAAGGGATTGAGACCCTGAACGGTTATCACCACAGAGACAGAAACAACCTGGAACCTTGCTGACCTCTCTTCTCTAAGTTATCATATTTAGCAAGTGAAAATATAGGACACCCAGTTCAATGTCAACATCAGGTAAAAACAAGCAACTTTTTGGTATAAATAGGCCCCCAATGTTGAATGGGACTTGTTTACCTGAAATTCTGATTTCACTGGGCATCTTGCGTTTTATCTTGGCACTTGGGGTTGAGAGGATTGAGAGCATTGAGGCCCACATCCCATCTTGGGAATAAGATTAATCAAATGACAAATAATTCTGTACATGTGAGGTGGCCTCAGGAGATGGCGCTTTCATTCTTTTTAGCAAATGTTTCTTCCTGTTTTTCATCTTTCCTCGGACTACGAGTTGGGTTTTGGTTAAAGTCATGGAGCAATTTTCATAACCAGGTTCATGTCCCAACTTTTCTGCTGACCTCACTAAGTAACTATAGGCAGATTAATTAGCTCAGTGACTCAGTTTCCTCAACAATGAAATTGGGATGATAATGTTCATCTTCTTGGTTGTTGAAACAAGATGGTGTTTGTTAGGTGCTGAGGGCCAGTCTCAGCAGATTGTATGTGCTCAGAAGTTAGAAGCTCTCATAACTGTTTTGATGTTTTTGAGCACAGTTAGTTTTTAAAGCACACTAAATTTCAGGTTGAGGGGCGTCTCCTACTTGCACACAGATTGGAGGGCTCATGAGCCCTGTGCCAGGTGCCTCTTCTCGTTCTTCAATTCCTTGGATTTAGAGTTGCTGGGTTTTGTGGGGCATAATGCTTCATGCTCAGGGCAGAAGGCCTGATCATAACCCCATTTTTGTCTAAACCAAAGTCTCTAACCCTTCCATTAGCTCATTCCAAATCCTAATCATTGCATTCAGTGGTAGAATTGTTGACTGCCAAATTCTATTAGAAACCTATACAGTTGTATCTCAGTATCCATGGGAGACTGATTCCAGGTCCTTTGCAAAATTTGTGGATGCGTAGGTCCATTAAATAAAATGGTACAGTATTTGCAAGTAACTTGACACACATATGCTTTTTATATAGATTACTTAAAATACCCAATACAGTGTAAATGCTGTTAAACAATTTTATGCTGTATAGTTTAGGAAACAAGGACAGGAAAAAATCTATGTGTTCAGTATAGATACAATATTTTTCTCAAATATTTTTGATCAATGGATGGTTGAATCCCCAGATGTGGAACCCACAGATATGGAGGGCTGACTGTACACACTTTATGAGTGAAAATACAAACAATTTGAGATGAAGTGTAGGGAAACTGTGGTGGATTAACTAATGGTCAACTTGTAACACCCGACTGAAGTGAATCAGCACGGTTCTGAGTAGAAAAGGGGATTGTTGCTGACAGCATAAAAGGCGAACTGGAGGGGAAGATGGTGTGCTGTTGATTCTGCCAGAGAAGCTTGTCGCACTGACTTTCCTGATACGAACTCGGCTGTCCTCATCGTTGGAGGAGCTTGGGTCTTTGCTGTCGATGAGGACGGCTGTGGTTCTTTCTGGGGGAGCTCCGGCTCTTACCTTGAGCATTACTTCCTAGTTTCGGTGCAGATCCCTCAACCTGCTGGCCCAGAGCCTTCACCCTGCTGGTGCAGACTTTCTAGCTTCCACCACTGACCTTCGGGCCTTCCCCGTGCAGATCCTTGAGCATGAAGCATTGTTGTGGGCTCTAGGCTCCCAGCTGGGTTTGTGGAGGACATTGCTGTGGGACCCAGACCCTCCGCTGGATGACTTGAGTCTCTAGTGTATGGACAGATCTCTTGCACCATTCTGCATTTGACTTTTTGAGTGAATATTATAAAATAACCCTATAAATTATGTGTCCTGTATTAAATCTACTCCCTTGCAAACCTTGACTACAGCAGAGACCAACCTTGAGGATGGAGAGAGAGAAAGGAGAAACGGAACTACTTGGGGCTCTGCAGTGCTCTTCAAAGCAGCTCAGAAATACTTGTGTTCTGGGTAGGTACTTCATGGAAAGCACCAGATTCAGAGTCACTGGGACTGTGTTCAGATTATCTCAGTGCTACTTGTGAGTTGTGCCAATTTAAGAAAGTTATGCATCTCTCAGTTTGTGACTCTCTGTCTATACATACAGCATTATGGAGTTCTGGGGGAAAATTAAATGGAAAAAAGGCAGATATAGGAACATGGCACCCAAAAAGAGCTCGGTAACTCTAATCTGGCTTTCAGAGAACTTTGATAGCACTCTGTAACAAGTGCTGTGATTATCTGGCCAGCAGCTAACCTTGGTCCTTGTGTGTGAGTGTGTGATTGTAGTTCCGTGTTTGTGTTGATGTTAGCTGCAACATTTATAGAGGGCCTGTAGCACTGACTAACAAAACTGTCCCAGTTTGCCCAGGACTAAAGAGGTTACCAGGATGCAGGGCTTGCAGTGGAAAAGTCCCAGGCA